TCTCCAGGCTGGAGGAATCTGTGTTTCTGAGCTCCCTTAGTGGCACCACTGTACCTTTGGTGGTGCTTGGACCTCTGCTTCTGGGTGAGGAGATGAAGTGAGGAAGCTGGGAAGTGGAGCAGTAGTGGCAGGGCAGGGAAACTTTCTTCCTCGTTTAGGTCCCTGCTGCTACATCCCTGGGGAAAACTTTAGTGTTCATAGGGCAGAGGAGGAGAGATATCATGGTCCAGGTTTTAGGAGTAGTGAGGAGGAAACTTAATGAAGGTCATGAAATTTGCAAGATTCCCTTTGACCCAGCAGCTTGGGAATTCTTGTGACCAGCGAGGCTCAGCCCGGTAGTGGGTTCCTTGGGGAGAGCACATGGCAGCCTCCATCACTGCAGTCTGCGGGAGGGAACTGCTCACCGTTTCCGTATGGTTTGGCTCTAACGACTGAGCTCTGCTCAGAACAGATCTGAGTTACCATTTCATCTTTTGCCATTTTAATTTTAGCTGAAGTTTTTTTATGGCTCCAATGCCTCATTTCACAGGATGGGTTGAGTGGGAAGGGACCTTAAAGACCATCTAGTTCCAACCCCCCTGCCATGGGCAGGGACACCTTCCACTAGACCAGGTTGCTCAAAGCCTCATCCAGCCTGGCCTTGAACACTTCCAGGGATGGGGCATCCACAGCTTCTCTGGGCAACCTGCTCCAGTGCCTCAACACCGTCTCCGGAAAGTTTCATGGAGAAACTTTCTTGGAAAGAATGGATTTGGGTTTTGGGGGTGTAAAAGAAAAGATGGTGGGTAAGTACTGCCCTGTGGGGAGGGAGCTGGAGGCAATTGCATCAGGGCAGCGGGCGGGCAGCCAGGAGGCTGGGGGATGCAGGGAGGGGATGCCATGGAGAAGGGCTTGTGGCCAGTTCTGTCAGCAGGTCCCATCAGAGTTGGCAAGTGCCAGTGTCTGTCAGCAGGCAACCCGAGACAGACGCTTGGCTCAACTCAAGGTAGGCCGTGTAGACAACTGAAATGTGTTCAAAGACAACGCTAGTTGTGTCAGCCAGCACCGATGGAACTGTAGGGAAGGGCCTGGAGCGCTGCGTACTGTCCTGCCTGCAGCACAGGGTGCATTTAGGTGTCCCGTAGCAGAGCACAAAGCTGGACCAGCTGCTGTCCATGAGCTGGGGGCTCGCTGGTCAGCGTGTGGCCTGCAACTGCTTCAGGAGGCGCGTTCAGAGGTGCTGGGCAGAGCGGGGAGGGCAGCAGAGGCCTCCGAGCACTGAACTGCAAATCCCAGCAGTGGCTCCTGTGCAGCTGTACAGGCTGCATCTTCGAAAAAATACTTGTGGGTAACAAGAACAAGACCCAAAATGCTGAATTTCTGATGCGTTCTTAGGGCATCTTCTACCATTTGGGTATCTTTGCCACAAACCCCATTGAAGCGGCTCTCTTGGGACCTCGGGGCCCACTCCTGATTAGCAACCAAGGACCTGGCCTCTGTCACGCTGCTCTTATCTGGGGGCAGTGTGTGTGTGCACATGCACAGAGTTCTGAACTGAACCTACAAAGGAGATGGGAAGGCCAGGGCTGCGCGGGAGGGCTGTTAATTGCTGCTCACAGGGCAGACGGCTCTGCCACGCTCCTCGGAGCACCGGCTCGAAAGAACGTCCTGTGCGCGTCTTTTAATAGTCTCCTACCTGGGCCCAACCACTTGGTTCCCTTCACTCGTGCTGGTGCACGCCGTCTCCTTCCGCGCGTCACCGGGCCTTTTGGACAGGATCTCCACCGACACGTTCTCTCGAGTGAGCTGCCAGCGCTGCTTGGTGCCCACAAGGTCTGAGGGGCGTGAGATGTGGCTGCTGCGCGCGAGCTGCTGCAGGAGCTCCGCGGGAGCTGTCCGGGCTTGCAGCCTGCGGCCGAGGGCAGTCACAGCTGGCGACTTAACCGTTTCCTTGTTTTTAAAGGCTAACCCCACCGCCGCCTTCGGCTGCCGCCGCACGTAACCCCCTCGCTTGCTCTCTTCCACTCCGGCCCGCGGCCGCCTCAGCGTTTTCAAGGGAAGATCTCCACGTGTCTTCGGCCCTCTCTCCGAAGTACGTACCTGCGGCGTGGTCAGGAGCGGCTGCACCTTGTGTGGAGCGCTCCCTTTGGAAACGGCACCGTACGGAGCCACTGGCACACACACTGAGCGATGTTTATGGCTTGAAAAAGGAGAGTGCCTGCACGTGCCTATCTGCAGCTGGGGAGTGTGGGGTGGAAACGGCCGGTTTAGGCTTCTCAGAAAATGTCATGTTTGCCTTTGGCCCTCCCAGAAAAGCAGCAGGAGAATCAGGTGCTGCAGAAACTCCACTTTACAGCCTGGGAAGACCCTTTCTTGTACCATAAAGCCAAAGCTTGGCTTTATGGTATGCCCTGAAACAGGAAAGTTCTGCTCTGTTTTTGGAACATTAAAAATCCTGTATTTTTAGTTAAGAGGAAACAGCAGATGCTTCCTGTTAGTCACAGTTTTTTGACAGTTTATTCATCTTTTTCCCCCAGATCTTTTTAGATATTTTACCTTCTTGGACTATAACCATAAAACTGTTCTCGGACTGTTCTGTGGTAGAAGAAACCAGTGTGAGCTAAAGGAGAAGCAGGCTGTGGACTGAAGTCTTAATTCACTGGTGAGCTTGGCAAAATCCATTTCTTCCCTGCCTAATGAGGTAGGAGTTCCTACACTTGCGTGTCCTACAACGCGTTACAGCCAGCTCTAGGAGTGTGACAGAAGTTTGTCACTCCCTTGCAGCAAACCCCCCCCTTCCCGTATGGCCCTCGCTCTGACTGCACCCACCTGACCACCCTCCCGACGCCAGACGTCCTTTGGGCACCAGCCTCTGAAAATCAGCAGCCTAAGCGAGAGCTAAGCTCACTGCTGGAGGAATTCAGAATCAGTTAACCCTCAAAATAACCTTTTGAGCCAGTTACTGAAAACAGGAATGATATAAACATACAGTTGGAATCTCCAATCCCAACCCACCCATCACTTGACCCTCTACCACAGAGCATACCTGGACAGAGGGGGAGGCTACGGGAAGGATGCAGACATGCCAGTGCACGCTGGCAGCCAGAAAGCCAACCGTATCCTGGGCTGTATCCAGAGAAGTGTGGCCAGCAGGTCGAGGGAGGGGATTCTGCCCCTCTACTCTGCTCTGGTGAGACCCCACCTGGAGTGCTGCATCCAGCTGTGGAGCCCTCAACATCAGAAGGATATAGACCACTTGGAGCGAGTCCAGAGGAGGCCACGAAGATGCTCAGAGGGCTGGAGCACCTCTGCTATGGGGACAGGCTGAGAGAGTTGGCCTTGTTCAGCCTGGAGAAGAGAAGACTCCGGGAAAACCTTACTGTAACCTTCCAGTACCTGAAGGGGCTACAAGGAAGCTGGGGGGGACTTTTTACAAGGGTCTGTAGTGACAGGACAAGGGGTAACAGGTTTAAATTGAAAGTGGGGAGGTTTAGATTAGATATCAGGAAGAAGTTCTTCACGGAGAGGGTGGTGAAGCACTGGAACAGGTTGCCCAGAGAAGCTGTGGATGCCGCATCCCTGGGAGTGTTCAAGGCCAGGCTGGATGAGGCTTGGAGCAACCTGGTCTAGTGGAAGGTGTCCCTGCCCATGGCAGGGGGGTTGGAACTGGATGGTCTTTAAGGTCCCTTCCACCCCAAACCATTCTGTGGTTCTATGAGACATCAGGAATATGTGTGAGCTGTTCCTGCTGTAGGTCTAGTGAAGACCTAAATCCATTTTTTAGACGATGTTTTCTCCCACCATTTTAGACTCCATTGGAAAAAGTCACGGTTTATCATTTTTAAGTATGTTTTGTTTGCTTAGTTACCATTTCAAAATGTCTGAATTTCAGAATGTCTTTGAGCCATTAAGAGCAGAAGGGGAAAGTTAAACCACACAAAAACACCGAGAGAAAAAGTTGTTACCTTTATTTAAAAAATACCAGTAATACTGACACATTTAAAAAGCAATTCACACTCATACAAAAGTATTCATGTGTTCTCCAAACCCACTGTCTGTTCAACGTCAGCATCGTAATCGTGTTTGGATTTACTAAGAACAGATGGGTTTTAGCCTAGTTATTTAAGCAACTGCATAAATCAGTAAGACCGGCGTTGGGCGTGTAACGCAGGAGGACTGTTTGGCAGTCTAGAACAACATTCCCACACCTCATCCTAGCTCCTCCTCGCTTCATCCTTGAAAAACAGGACAAGAAGCTACTCGACGCTGCGTGTAGTCAGATCTCTCAAAAGCTCGGAGGACCGAAGCCCTTTTCTTTCCATAGGAAGACCGTTGCACTTCGGAGCTCACCACATAATGCTGAACACGTGCCCCGTCGCATTTTAAGGCTAAACTGTTTGAGGAGAACGCCTGCTGTCTGGCAGCTGATCGGTGGGGCCTGAAGAGGTTTAGTTCCGATCGAAAAGAGGAATCAAAGGAACAAGGCTTTTTTCAAAGCCACGCACGATGGAGGCTCAGACAGCAGCAGCGCTCACTTTTGCTTTTCGGTTAACTGGAACAGCCCCTGTCTGCTCACTCCACCAGCACAAATAGCAGCATCAAG